AATCTACATAAAGAACAGGGATTTCTTTGTTTCAGTTGAAAACTTCTCATCAAAGAGGTCAAAGGTCACATGTGGGGTACCCCAAGGTTCAATCCTAGGACCCCTCTTATTTAATATTTATATTCTCCCACTAGCTCAGGTTATAACAGGAAATAATATTAGCTACCATAACTATGCGGATGACACACAGCTCTACATTATGATGTCACCAGGTGACCTTTGACCCCATCCAATAACTGAATAAATGTTTAGAACAGATAAATGTGTGGATGTGCCAAACCTTTCTCCAGCTGAACAAAAACAAAAACTGAAGTCATTATTTTTGGACCTAAAGAGGAACGATCTAGCGTTATAGATCTGGAGTTATAGATCTAGAGCTATAGATCTAGAGTCATAGATCAGAGTCATAGATCTAAAGTTATAGATCTAGAGCTATAGATCTAGAGTCATAGATCTAGAGTCATAGATCTAAAGTTATAGATCTAGAGTCATAGATCTAGAGCTATAGATCTAGAGTCAATGCACAGCTCCAGTTATTACAACTAAAAACTACTGGTAGAAATGTTCCCTCTAAGTGTTCATGTATCTGGACATACACACAAGCATCCTAAGTACACTGAGGACCACTGTGAGCATCATCAGTGTGCACGGCGTGGCCACGCACAAGTATCATAAATCTGGGATCATAGAAAGTTGCATGGCTTATTAAAAGAATCAAATTACATCAGCAATTTTCATTTGTTTGCTTTTAATTTAAGTGATTTGCTCAATTAAAATGAAAAAAAAAAGAAAAACATTGCTGTACATGAGATGAACCCTGGATGAACTTAGCCAGGGTGAGAAAAGAGACATTACACCTTTCAGACGTAACCGTTTGTTCATATTAAAATATTCACATTTGCACAATGAAATGTTTTCTGTAGCTTGTGATACAGTATAAACTCTTGTAAAATATTTAATTAGTTTTTTCACATCTGCCCTTCTCACTTCTCCACTGGTTGTTCACTTTGCCCAGGTTGATGGTCAGTCTGCTTCTTGCTTTATGTTCTTGAATTCAGCATATTGACTGTTAATGGCCTCCATAATCTGTGGGTGGAGGAGAATGGCTTCATACTTCTTTTCCAGTGTACGAATGTCTGCTTATCCATAGACAAAAGTCTGAACTCAACGCTTCAATATCAAGTGCAGACCATTCCTTTAATTTTGCTCTGAAAAATTAGCATCAATGTGATCACAGAGCTTACTAATAAAAAGAATAATCGCTGTAAACTGTACTGTTCTTCTAGTTGCACAAACTCTGACAGCCATTTGATCTTAGAAGAAGCGCATTTTGTTTTTACTTTGGCTTGGTGAGTGGATGTCCCACTGAGACATAAGGTTTTAGCTTTCATGTCTCTTAACTCCGCCGCACTATTCTCACCTGCACGGTGCCACAGCGCTTATGACCAAGGCACGTACACAAATAGCATGCGATGTTTGGCTGCGTAGCGAAAGTGAACCATATTGTCATTGGCTGGATTCCTGTCACTCACTGAGTTCAATTGCAAAGTAGTACAGAAAAAATATTATTGGTCCAAAACTGATGTCTGAGCTCAATGTCCACTTTACGTTGGACTTTATTTTATGCGCTACATAGATTTTCTTGTGCGCTGAAAATATGCGAGCAGTGCGCGATTGCTCAGGCGCAGCTTAGAGGGAACATTGCCTGGAAGTAGTGATGGACTCTGACCTGAACCTTCAGAGCAACATAAAGACAGTTACTAAGTCGGCCTTCTATCACCTGAAGAACATCTCCAGGATTAGAGGACTAATGTCTCAGCCAGATCTAGAGAAACTCATCCATGCGTTCATCTTCAGTCGCATTGATTATTGTAACAGCATTTTCACAGGTGAGCAGAAAACTAAATTTTATAAATAAGCAGCTCAAACTGGGCACCCAGGATTGTCAGCTGCAGCATTGTGAAGTGGAGAGGAGAGATCGGTGACCAGATTAATAGCAATGAAGGGATCGGGTAGTGCGTAGGAAGGCAACACTAACCTGGCTTGGCGATCAGGTACTCGTGTGATCAGCTGAGAGATGAGGAGGAGAGCAAATGCTGCACTGACGCAGGGCTCAGGAGGAAGTGCCTGAGGCTTGGAAGCACTGATGCAGCACAGCGTACTAATTTTTAAAGTCCCTCCACTGGCTCCCTGTAGCTCAAAGAATAGACTTTAAAATATTGTTGTTAGTTTATAAATCACTGAACGGTTTAGCACCACAATACATCAAAGATCTGCTGTTGTTGTATCAACCTGCCAGACTCTCAGGTTCAGGTTCTGGTTCTGCTCTGCATCCAGAACCAGAACCAAGAGAGGAGAAGCAGCTTTCAGCATCTATGCACCAAATATTTGGAACAAACTTCCAGAAAACTGTAAAACACCTGAAACATTGACTTTCTTTAAATCTCGACTGAAACCCCACCTATTTAGGATTGTATTTCAAGTGTAATCAATTACAAATTTAATGATGGAACTTAATATCAAGTTTTGATCGTTTATTCTATGATGCAAACTGCATAAAAATCTGTGCGGGACGATGGAGTTCCAGAGCAAAATTCAGTTGAAAGGTTGTTAACAATGTTTTAAACTGCGTAATTGTGAGCATGCATGGGAATACAAATCTCAATACATATTTTGTTCCATATAACACAGTAGAAGTGTAACCAGTAAACCTTTTGTGGCCGCAAAGGCAAGAAACCCCCACTTGATGACTTTGTGTTTTTGTGTTTGTTATGCTTTGCTGTTGAAATGTGCTATACAAATAAAATTTGATTGATTGATCAATCAAATTCAATCAATAAATCAAGGAGGAAACTCTTCAGACTCTTTAGAGACATAGACTCAACTCAGCAAAGAAACACTGAGGAACCAGATTGGACAAGAACCACCGTAATTAAATGCAATCGAACCAGACCACCAGAACCCAAATCCAGGAATCAGAGGTTCAGTGAATGTGGTGTTGAAGGTGTGGAGGAGGATCAGTGAGTCAGAGGAGACTCTGTAGAAGGACAGAATGCCAGCAGGACAGTCCACATACACTGCTACTCTGTGAGAGTCAGAGGAGGAGGAGAGACGAGTTGTCTGTAATTGTGCCAAACAGAGTAACCATAAATATCATAGCATCTCAGACTCCAGGAATGATTATTCCATCCAAACACACAGTCTCTACTGTCTCCTTTCCTCCTGATTCTTCTGTAACTCACTGATATATCAACTTCTCCTCTCCACTCAACCTCCCAGTAACAGCGACCAGTCAGACCAGTTCTACACAGCAGCTGAGGATAATTATCAAATCTGCCTGGATGATCAGGATATGACTGAAGCTGCATTATCCATGTCACCTTCCTGTTGTCTTCAGACAGTTTGAGGATACTGTTCACTGTGTTTGTGTCGATGGTGAGTTGACAGGATCTGATGGAGAACAAACACAATCCAGCTGCAGTTATTGATCATTTATTGACACTTTGACTCCTGAATGAGTGATGTGACAGTTTGAAGATGGTTGAATGTGAGCTGCTTTGTTGTCATGAATCAGATGAAAAACACACTTACATTTCCTCAGACCTGGAGTCAAGAATCGGCCTCCAGCAGGCTCCACCCTGAAAGGAGGAGGGGGGTCAGACCATCAGTCTCTTTCAGCAGCAAACATGGACATTACATGTCTCTCAGACACATATTGTCCTCCACTGAGACAGGAACAGTCCAACATCTGGATTGCAAACTGCAGTGGATGTAGGAAGGACAGTTGGTGCTGCTGCAGCACAACTCATTTCTCCAAACACAGGAAAAGCTCCAACAGAGAGGAGAAAGGAAATCCCTCAGTAACAACCTGAAGAAACTCACTGAAGCCTAAAAGGACATCAGGAAACTAAGGAAACATTTCTGGAAGCTCCACCTGATTTAATAATCAGCATTAAAATACAATCAATCTAAACTCTGATCAACACCTGGATACCTGATCCATCCACACTCCCACACACAGATGAAGGAATGAAACACTAAACAGCCCTGCTGCTGAAAACCTGCTGTGGCCTCACTGTAATATCCAGAAATACAAACATTAAAAGGAGAAGCTGCATCACATTCAACAAAGATTCAACAAGAATCAAAGATTTGATCTCTGAGCTCAGACTCACAAACCAGGGAGAGGCTTTCATCATCACACACCTCTGACAAACACCTCCAACCTTTCAGCACTTCCTCTACCAGCCAGCACCACCAGGTGCGCTGCACACATTTACAATGAGCCCAAGAAGAAGAAGCAGCATCCTGAATGCAGCAGCTGCAGTAATGGCTTGTGAAAGTGTCCAAGGAGCATCTGGAACCAGAACCAGCAGATCCAACAGTCCAGAAAGTTTTTGTTTGCATCTTTCCTCTCAGATTTCCAAGCTGCTCTGAGAGGAAATGACATCATTCTACTGATTGTTCTGCAACTCCATCAAATATTGTTTTAAATATTAGATTTGATTTAATATAGAGGAATATTAAAATCCTCTATGAACCAAATTGATGATCACCATGGAAATCTAACTGAACTTCTTTATTCATTTAGTCAGAGTCCCTATTAAACTATTAAACCATCCCACTCTTTAATTTTCCTTGTGACCCGTTTTTAGTCTGGAGAATATTCCAGAAAACTGGGTGATGATCTCTGCCTCCAGATAAGGCGTCTAAATATTTAATTATCAAATTAAACATTCAGCATCAAACTAAATGTTTTCCAGCAGACTGACTAAAGACATTTCTCCCTCTTCCTCCTCTATCAGACCTTCTCTGCTCCTGCAGCAGGTTCCTCCATACCTGAGAGCTTCCAGTCTCCAGTGTGGATCCTTCAGTCCAGCCGACAGCAGCTTCACTCCTGAGTCTCCTGGATGATTGTAGCTCAGGTCCAACTCTTCAGATGGGAGGGGTTGGAGGTCAGAGCTGAGGCCAGAGAAGCACAGCTTCCTCTGAGACCAACAGCCTGATAAGCTGCAGACACACAATCATCACATGATGAGAAAATGACAACATTGAGGTAGAGACAAGGTCTGGACGGACGGACGGACGGACGGACGGATGGATGGATGGCCCAAGTTACCTGAGAGTTTCCAGGTTGCAGTTTGGACTCTTCAGTCCAGCAGAGAGAAGCTTCACTCCTGAATCCTGCAGGTTGTTGTTACTCAGGTCCAGTTCTCTGAGACTGGAGGACTGGGAGCTGAGAACTGAGGACAGAGCTTCACAGCTTCTCTCTGAGAGGTTACAGCCACTCAGTCTGAGGAGACAGGGAGGAAATATGGTATTAAAGAATTTATTAAAATGTCTTTTTTCCAGTCAACAATGTTCCTCTTTACTGATTTAATGAACTGTTTTATATATAATCATGTTGCCTTTTTGTGAACTGGGTTCAGTCTATATTGGGCCTCCAGCCATGAAGGACTGAACTAAAGGCAACAAGGAGGCTGGCAAGAAATATTAAATTCCTCTATGAACTAAATGAATCCATGTCAGTTTTAACAGAAAGAGTCCAATGAAGCCTGAGAATCAAGGCTGGGCTGAAGATCAGCATCAGGCTCAGTTTGAGGATCAGCATCAGAGCTGGTTTGAGGGAAAACAGCAGCTTGAATCAAAGCAGAGCAAATCTACAGTTTCATCTTTACATGTTTAACTGTTGGATACAGAGATGGAAAACTGAGCTGCAAGTGACAAAAATTATTATTTGAACAAGAATCAAATTGTTCTATAAAAGGATTGAATAAAAGCTGATTTTTTGTTTGACAAAAAAAATTACGACAAATCTATGTGGGAAAAATTAGAAACAAATAGATACAAATACAAATAGATACAAATACTCTCCAAAAACATTCCAAAAACAAGCCAAACATTAAATACAGGGAAATTTAACCCAGTATTTAAATTAAAAAGTTCTGAAAACACCAACCTGACACTAAAGTTACTAAACACATGGAAAACACACTTTCAGAATCACCACAATTAAAATTACATTCATAAATATCAACATTGAACGAACCTCCAAATATATTTTAAACATTCAGAACTGTCTTATTTCAATAAATTCACCTAAGGCATGAAAATGAATCCAGATCCACCTGGATAAACTCAGGTATTCAGCCATTCTATAAATTACTCAGTTGCTTTTGATCAATTATTTCACATAAATGTATTGTTTACTTCATTTATTCTACAGCAGGAGAAGTTGTGTCAAAAAGTGTAATAGACAAAATTTCAAATTTTGGAAAAACATTTTTTTGACTAAAATTTGTGGAGAAAAAAAACAGTGCACAGGCATCCTCAATTCCAAATACGTTCACTTACAATTTCATCACTTGGTTCATGTTCACATTATTTATTGACTATATCGAAGAATATCAAATATATTCGGAATTTAATTGAAGATAAGAAATAATGCATATTAATTCAAATTCTGCATCGTGTTATTTTACATATTAATGACTGTTTAGCTTAAAAGATCTCTTATGGTCTGTAAAACGAAAGTTACATATGTAACTACGGTTCTATGAATCCCGGATGACCGCCAGAGGGCGGTGCTGAAAGCACTGAATGTTCCCTTCGCGCATGCGCCGTTCGAGTAATAATGCCAAAAGAGTCACACCTGTGACATATCGGATGATCAATCAGAGGCTATATAGCATGACGTCATCCGATGCTCTGTTCCTACAGAATCTTCTCGCGAAATGCAAGGATTCTGAGTGACAGAGAAGCTCTGGCGGTCATCCGGGATTCATAGAACCGTAGTTACATATGTAACTTTCGTTCTATTTCATCCCTACTGACCGCCAGAGGGCGGTGCTGAAAGCACTGAATGACGAATACCAGCGATGTCACAAGGAATCCGAGCACGCACCTCACTGAGAAGGCCCAGAAGACCCTTGCAAGAGAACCTGGTCCAGAGGATGAGAGGATGCCACATTCACGTTTGTAAAACCTAGTGAATGTGCTCGGAGAAGCCCACGACGCAGCAGCACATATAGCTTCCAGTGGAACTCCTCTCAAGGCGGCCCAGGAGGTGGAAACGCTCCTGGTAGAGTGCGCCGTCACGCCGACTGGCCGGGGATGGTGCCCCGCAGCGTAGGCGTGGCAAATGACATCCACAATCCAATGGGAGAGACGCTGTTTAGACAGAGGACAACCCAATCGAGGGCCCCCATAGCACAAGAACAGCTGGTCTGAACGTCGTAAGGCAGCAGTGGCTGCAAGATAGGCCTCCAGTGCCCTCACTGGGCACAGCAACTCAGGACCATCACCAGCGTCCCCTGAGATGGGCCGGAAACGCGCCAATTTCAACGGCTGGTTACAATAAGAAGGAGAAAACACCTTTGGGGCAAACGCCGGGTTCGGCCACAAGGTGACACCAGAGCCATCCGAACTCCACCTCAGGCACGATGGACTGACAGAAAGAGCATGTAGCTCACTGACCCTCTTAGCTGAGACAATAGCCAACAAAAAGGCAGTTTTACATGACAACCATTTGAGGTCCGCCTGAACCAGAGGCTCAAATGGAGGGTGGCACAGAGCACTGAGGACCAAGGACAGGTCCCAAAACTGGTGCTCGCGGGGCCAGTGGAGGGCGCAGCCTACGAGCACCACGCAAAAAAAGAGAAACAAGATTATGGCTCCCCACTGTACGGCCATCAATCTCAGCATGACAAGACGATATAGCTGCCACATAGACCTTAAGTGTCGAAGGGGAGCGGCCCTCATCAAGAAGGGACTGAAGAAACTCCAAAACAGTGGGAACCGCACAGGTGACCGGATCAACATTACGGGCAAAACACCACCGGGAAAACAGACGCCATCTGTTGTCATATTGCTGACGAGTGGAGGATGCCCTCGCACTCAAAATAGTGTGCCTGACAGGAGCCGAATACCCAGTCAGCTGCAGTTCAAGCCTCCCAGTGGCCACACCCACAGCCGGAGGCGGTGAGGATTGGGATGCCATATCTGACCCCCCAACTGAGACAGTAAATCCCTCCTGGGCGGGAGACACCACGGGACACCGTGACACAGACTCCGTAGAAGTGGGAACCACGGCCGTGCCGGCCAACACGGAGCTACCAGCAACATCCTGTGGCCCTCCTCGAGCACCCTCGAAGAGTCGGCCAAATCAGGGAAAGGGGTGGGAAGGCATATAGGAGGACCCTGGGCCAAGGATGGGCCAAGGCATCCTGGGCCAGGGCACCGGCGGCCCCTGTAAGGGAAAACCACAGAGGACAATGAGTCGAGGCCTCTGTGGCGAACAGATCGACCTCCGCCTGACCGAAAAGGCCCCAGACCAGGCGGACCACGTCGCTGTGGAGGGACCACTCTCCCGGAGCCGGCGCCTGTCGGGAAAGGGAGTCTGCTACCTGATTGCACAACCCCGGTAAGTACACCGCCTGCAGGGTGGACAGGTGAACCGATGCCCATACCAGGAGATCCTGGGACTCCTTCAGAAGCTGCGCTGACCTGGTGCCACCTTGGTGGTTGATGTGGTAGACAACAGAGGTGTTGTCCGACCGAACCAGGACATGTCTCCCCTCCAGGCGGGGCAAAAAATGCCTGAGAGCCAAATGTACAGCACGCAGCTCCAACACATTTATATGCCTGGAGCGATCCCGCGGACACCAGCCCCGAACCGCCTGGTGTTGCCACACAGCGCCCCATCCCACAGAGCTGGCATCTGTCGTGACCACCTCTCTGCGACACACAATCACACCCATCTACACACCCCTGGACAAATAGGTCCTGTCTCGCCATGGACTCAGGGCGCGAAGACACAGCCATGTCACCACGAGCCTGCGGTGCCTGTGAAGCCTGGGATCCAGGTTCCAGCTGTTGACCCACCTCTGCAAAGGGCGCAGCGAGAGCAGACCCAAGGGCACGACCCGAGTAACCGATGTCAGTTTGCCCAGCAGCTGCAAGAAGGCAACGTAAGGAAGGGCCCTGCCCAGCCTGAATCGACTCACCAGCTGGAGAATGTTGTCCACCCTCTGGACAGACGGGTAGGCCATCATGGAGGGAGAATCCAAACGCACTCCAAGAAAAGTGGTTGTCTGCGATGGAATCAGACAGCTCTTCTCCAAGTTCACCCGGAGGCCCAACCGGGACATGAGCGAGCAGGCGACTCGTATCGTGAGAAGCCTGCTCTCGAGACGGGGCGCAAAGAAGCCAATCGTCGAGGTATGGCATAACCTTCATGCCACGGGCCTGCAGAGGAGAGAGGGCTGCCTTCACGCATCGAGTGAACACCCTCGGGGAAAGGGAGAGGCCGAACGGGAGCACACGGAACTGCCAGTGGCGACCCCGATAGGCAAACCTCAGAAAACGACGATGATCTGCCGCAACAGGTACATGAAAGTAAGCGTCCGTAAGGTCGATTGAGGTAAACCAGTCCCCCTTCGTCACGGCGCGAAGAACCTCTGCCGTCGTGAGCATGTGGAACGGCAGGACCTTTAAACACTGATTGAGACCCCTGAGGTCCAAAATGGGACGAAATCCACCAGTCTTTTTCGGCACGAGGAAGTAGGTCGAATAGTAGCCTCTGGGTTGCCGCAGAGGATCCACCGCCTCGAGTGCACCCTTGGCCAGGAGGGCGGAAAGCTCCTGGTCCAAGGCCTGAGCTTTCACCGGGTCGGTGATGACAGTCTCCCTGACCCGGCGTGAGATGTGAGGCCGCCGTCGGAACTGTAGCCGGTATCCATGGGTCAGAGTGGCAACCACCCACGGATCCACAGCAAGAGCAGCCCAGTAACTGAGCTGCCGATGAGAAAAACGTCCGACGGCCGGCCCGGTGGAGTCACTTTCTCTCCCCAAGGCCCCTAGGGGCTCTGTGGGTGGGGCGGCCAAAGTCTGCGGCCCGGGAGTGCCTGGCTGGTTGACGGACCGGCCCACGAAAATCCCTCCTGGACCTCTGCTGCACCGCATGAGGCCGAAATCCACCAGGCCGATCACACCCCTGAGGCGGCGGCCGAATGCTGGGGCCAGCCGACGGGCGCCTCGGACCATGAGGAGGAGGGGGCATCCCCCTGCTGAGGCCTGAAAGCTGCTGCCTAGTCTGCCGCGCCTGAACAGAACGTTGCAGTGCATCCAAGGCAGCAGAACTGAATAACTCCCCTGGCACCACAGGAACATCACGGAGGGTCCTACGGCATGGTTCAGTCAACGTGGACTGAGCCAGCCAGACCTGTCGACGAGCCTGGACTAGAAAGACATCACACGCCCAAGCTCCCTGGTCATCAACGCAAAGGCCTGAAG